CCTTCTAAGTATTCCTTTATATGCGGTTCAGAGTTCTGGGACCAGCCCCTGAGGCTGCTTGTTTGGGTATTCTGTGTTGTTGTAGGCGGAGCTCTCTGCTATACCTCCACCCGATCCGCCATCTTGTTTGTTCCCCTCCTTTTTTATTTGTATGAAATAAATGCTTCACAATAACATTTCTGCATTGCTTTTAATTTCCTTGTAAAAGGATATAGTTAGGTCAGGGAAGGTAGAGCCCATCTTCTGCCAGGGTATGTAGTTCCTGACTCATGCTTTCCTGCCTTGATCAGACGGCAGGCTGGTTCAAGGCCATGTGGAACCAGGTGCCATCCTGTTCAGGCCCCCAGGCTCAAAATCTACACATTATATTCAAACTGAAGGAATGAAGTCCTGATACATGCTATGACATGAATGACCCTTGAAAACATGACAAATCTGGTATGATCCTACTTATATGAAATATGTACAATAGGTAAATGTATAGAGATCAGAGTTCATTAGTGGTTTTAGGAGGAATAAAGAAAATGGGAGTCATTGCTTTAGGGGGCACTGAGCGCCTATGATGAAAAAAATTTGGAAACAGAATAGTTGCAAACCATGGTGAACGTAGATAATGTTACTGAACTGTGCATGGCAAAATGATGGAAATAGCAAATACTTTGTTATATAAGTTTTACCACAATAAAAGAGAGTGAAAGACAGAAAGACAAGATTCATGGTCCCAAAGCACTCTTTCAACCCCAACTCTTTCACAGCACCCTCTCCTCCCGCCCTCTATCCCTCCAAACTCACCAATCAGCAGCTGTACGATATTGGAACCTGCATACTTCCTCACATCCTCAATCCAGTGGGGAACCGACAGGAAGGAGCTCCTCTTGGTAATGTCATAGGCAAGGATGGCTCCATTGGCACTGCGATAGTAACTCTGGGTGATCGTGCGGAACCTCTCCTGTCCTGCCGTGTCCCAGATCTGCAGCTAAAGGAAAAAAGAAGTCGCCAGTGAGCTTGTCAATGCAGGCTCAAACAAAGGAGACAGGGAGTTCAATCCCATAAACCCAAGCCTGAAGCAGTGGTTTCATTAGGCAGGCTACCAGCCCAGCACTTGCCAAGAATCACATAGGAGAGGCTAAAAGGTAGACAAAGTGAAGGCCTTAGAAGGCACCTCAGTGCTCCAACTTTGAGAGGGGAGGGAGGACACAAAGGGAAGGTAGGCAGCCCTTGTCTCTGCCTTCTAGAATATTCAGGGAAAGGCCAGGGCAGAAGCAGGAGCAGCGATAGATAGTAAGACATGCATTCTGAACTACAGCAGTAAGAGTACCTGACCAGGGTCCTTTGTAGGTTCCCTAAACACTCTTCAACACTGGGCTAGCCCAATCTGATGAGCTGACTCCAAGCCTGCTACTATATTGGCTATGTCCTGGTCCAGGTCCCTGCCCTTCTTTGCCTGGTAAGTCTAAGAGCTCCTCCATCATTTGGGTTTTCTATCTTGATTTGAGCAAGTCTTCAGAAGGCTCTGGGAGCAGCATCCAACTACAGTAGAGTAATTAGTAGTAGACCAGCCCTTCCTCCTTAAATAACTGTTGTTGTTAAGTGCTGTTGAGTCGGTTCCGACCCATAGCGACGTAGAAAGCCTGATCTTTCTCCCGCGGAGCAGCTGGTAGTTTCAAACCGCTGACCTTAAGGTTCGCAGCCCGATTCGTAACCACTACGCTACCAGAGCTCCTTAAATAACTGTAAGACTGGAGAAAAATACATGAGGTTTCTGTTTTTAGAAAGTAGTTAAAAAATTGTAATCCCTGAAATAAAACCCATGCAATGAACCTCTCTACCTGGGGACAATTTCCTGACCACAGGACAGTGGGCTAGAATCCAAGCAGAGCAAACTGGTCCCACTGAGCTGAGGAGGCAGAAATGTGAAGTAGATATGTAAATTTTCACTTAAAGTATGAAGGTGAGTCCAAAATTATCCACACTGTGGAATTTATTTTAATCAGCTTTTTATTTTAATCATTTTTCAACATAATCTCCTTGCTTTTCAATACACTTTGTTCATCTGTTAACAAGCTTTCATATTCCTTTATTGAAAAATGTTTTAGGCTAAGCTGTGAGCCATGAATGCATCACTGTCTTCACTTCTTCACTGGTGGTGAATCTTCATCCTCAAAGGGATGCTTTCAGAAAACTAAGTTTCTGTAGCGTATCAACAGTGTGGGCAGAGGTGTGAAGATACATGTGCATTGTCACACAAGATCACAGCGCTCTTGGATAGCAGTCCTCTGCATTTAATCAGAAGTTTAGGCTTCAGTTCTTCAGTGAGCATCTCACTATAAAAAGCAATGTTGATTGCTGAATCTTTTTCTTAAGTGTTCCAATACTGGCCCTTGAGAATCCCAGAAAACTGTTAGCATCAGTTTTCCAGCTGAAGGCTGACTTTTCAACTTTTTCCTGATCAGCGATTAAGAATGTTTTCATTCCATACTCTACTGTTTACTCTAGGCTCCTAGTGATGAATCCATGTCTCATCACCAGTAATGATTGTTTTAAAGAAACTTCAAATCTTCAATGGATTTACTGTCCTTCAAGTTATCAGTCCAAATTTTGCTTGCAGATGTCCAAATGCTTCTGTTTATGCTCTTGCATGAGATGTTTTGGTACCCATCTCACGCAAACTTTTCAAAACCCAAGTCTGTATCCAGCAAAAACATCCTTCAAATATGAGGGTATTCTTAATTTTTTAAAAAGGAGGATCTTTCAGATAAACAGAAGTGGAGAGAATCTCATTAGAAGACCTGTACTACAAGAAATGTTAAACATTAAACTCTAGGCTAAAGGGTAATGACACTAGATGAAAACTCAGATCTACGAAAGAAATCAGAAGCACCAGGAATGGTAAATAGTTGGTAAATTTTCTTTCTTTCTGTAATTTCCTTATAAGATAATTGACTGTAAAGTATAAATAATGACTGCTAATTTCACCAAATGAAGAAACTATGGCTGAAATCCATAAACCAGTGGAAGACCATAGTATTACCACTGATGCAATAACTACTAAAATTGGAATCTCACATGGTTCATCATTTTTAATTTAAAGCAAACATCTTGGCCTCAGCTAGCTTTCTTCTGGATGGGTGCCAAAAAGCATTGCAGGAAGATCAGTTAGCTCAAAGAGCTGATTTTTCCATCAGTCTTTTAAACTAGATTAAAGCTGATGAAGACGTTTATTATGGAATTAATTGTGACCAGGGATGAGTTTTTAATTTACCAATATGATCCAGAGAGCAAGGTCCAATCAAAACAGTAGTTCCCAAAGGGATCAAGGCTGAGAGGTCAGATCAGAAGCTTATAACCACTGATTTGGGGACTTCAAAGAAGCACTCCTGAAAGAATTTCTTGAACACCATGGGGGCTTACTATAAAGAAGCTTTAAGAAAACTGTAATGGTGAGGAAAAAAAACAGGAAATCTGCACTGAGGAATTTTTCCCTATATGACAATGTACCTGGCTCATTCTTACAGGGTAGCAAGGGCTACCTATGAGAATTTTTTTGGGAAACCTAGGAAGTATCGATCTAGGAAAACCTAGAGAACAGCCATCCTTAATATATGTTGTTGTTGTTAAGTGCCGTTGAGTCGGTTCCGACCCATAGCGACCCTGTACAGGGTTTCCGAGGGTGTAAATCCTTACGGGAGTAGAAAGCCTCATCTTTCTCCCGCGGAACGGCTGGTAGTTTCGAACCGCTGACCTTAAGGTTCGCAGCCCGATTCGTAACCACTATGCTACCAGAGCTCCCTATCCTTAATATATATCGTTATGTTTTTTTGAAACTTTAATGATAGTTCTGAATATTAATTTTAAGTAAAAACTGATATAAATTAAGGCAGAAACAAATAAATCTGCAATGTGTGGTAGATTTTAACACCCCTCTCTCAGTAATTGATACAGCAAGTAGACACATATGTAGACAAACACAAATCAATATGGATATGATTGTCAGATTGTCGTACTGCGGTGGCTTGCATGTTGCAGTGCTACTGATAGCTATGAAACCAATGTTTTAAATACCAGGAGGGTCACCCATGGTGGACAGGTTTCAGCAAACCTTCCAGACTAAGAGTAGGTGGTTCATTTCTGAGAGGTTAGCTACTGAAAACCTTAGGAATAGCAGCAAAACATGGTCTGATGGATCTAGTGCCAAGAGATGATTCCTTCAGGTTGAAAGTCACTCAAAATATGACTGAGGAAGACCTGCATCCCCAAAGTAGAGTTTGCCTCAATTATGTGAAGAAAGCAAAGCTTTCAGGACCTTCATTTGCTGGTGGGGCATGTCTGAAAATTAGAAAACAAACAAACAAACCAAAAAAAAAAAAAAACAATGGCTTGAAACATCCATTAATAATCAAGGCACGGTATGTATAAAGTATGAATCTAGGAAAATAGAAAGTCTTAAAATATGAAATGGAATGCATCAAAAACAAAATCCTAGGCATTAGTGAGCTAAAATTGACAGGTACTGGCCATTTTGTATCTGACAATCATATGGTTTACCATGCCAGGAATGACAAATTCAAGAATGGTGTCACATTCATTGTCAAAGACAATATTTCAAGGTCTACCTTGAAGTACAATGCTGTCTATTATAGGATAGTATCTATATGCGTACAAGGATGACCCACTAATACTACTGTTATTCAAATTTACAAATCAACCACCAAAGCTAATGATGAAGAAACTGAAGAATTCAACCAACTTCTTCAGTCTGAAATTGATCAAACATGCAATCAAGACATATAACTGATAATTACTGGTGACTGTAATGCAAAAGTTGGAAATAAAGAGAAGGCACTGAAGTTGGAAAATATGGCCTTGATAGAAATAAGATGATAAGAGTTTTATAAGACCAATGACTCACATTCATATTGTTTTTCAACAACATATACGGTGACTATACAGGTGGACCTCACTAGATGGAATACACAGGAGTCGAATAGCCTACATCTCTGGAAAAAGTCGATAAAAAAGTTCAATGTCATCAGACAAAACAAGGTCAGGGGTACATTGTGAAACAAACTGACATATGCTCATATGCAAATTCAAGCTGAAGCCAAAGAAAATGAAAACAAGTCCACGAGAACTTTGAGTAAGGTATCACACCTTAATTCAGAAACTATCTCAAGAACAGATTTGACACATTAAACACTAATGACCAAAGACCAGAGTAGTTGTGGGATGGCATCAAGAACATCAAAAGATCACTAAAAAGACAAGAAAGAAAGAAAAGACCAAAGTGGATGTCAGAAGAAACTGAGGGTTGCTCTTGAACATATAGTACCTACAGCGAGTGGAAGAAATGATGAGATACAAGAGGTGAACAGAAAATGTCAAAGAACAGCTCAAGAAGACAGAGCCGAATATTATAATGAAATGTGCAAAGACCTGGAATTAGGAAGTCAACAGGGAAAAACATACTAGGTATTTCTCAAGCTGAAAGAACTAAAAATCAAATTCAAGCCTCGACTTGCATTAACAATGGGCTCAAACATACCAACAATTGTTAAGAATGACGTAAGAATGATCAGTGTGTTGTTCTGTTGTGCATAGGTTCACTATGAGTTGGAAATGACTCAACAGCACCTAACAACAACAACAACATGGGTAAAATATTGAACGACGCAGGAAGCACCAAACGATGGTAAAAGGAATACAAAGTCACTGTACCAAAAAGAATTGGTCAACAGTCAGTCATTCCAAGAGGTAGCATATAATGAAGAACCAAAGACAATGAAAGAAGTCAGAGGTACACAAGTCTCCAGGAATTGACGGAATACTAATCGAAATGTTTCAACCAACTGATGTAGTGCTGAAAGCACTCACTAGTGTATGCCAAGAAATGTGGAAGACAGCTACCTGGCCAACCAACTGGAAGAGATCCATACACATGCCCATTCCAAATAAAAGTGACCCTACACAATACACAAA